ATGTTACATGTGCCATATAACAATACAGTGAATTTGCATGTATTTTTATAATGTGAGAAACATTCTGGCTTTCTTTCCTTCCTTCCTTCCTTCCTTCCTTCCTTCCTTCCTTCCTTCCTTCCTTCTTTCCTCCCTCCCTCCCTCCCTCCCTTCCTCCCTCCCTCTCTCCCTCCCTCCCTTCCTTCCTTCTTTTTTCCCTACTTCCCTCCTTCCTTCCTTCCTTCCTTTCTTCTTTCTTTTTTTTTTTCAACACAAGTTTGTAGCTTTGGCTGTCTTGGAATTTCCTCTGTAAACCAGGCTTGCCTTGAACTCAGAAGAAAGAAATCTGCCTACCTCTGCCTCCCAGATGCTGCGATTAAAGGTGTGTGCAACCTAGCCCATTCTGGATTTTCTATTTGGTTTCACTGGTCTGTCCTTTGATATGCTAATGCCATGAGCTTAATTATAGAGAGTTTATTATATGTTTAACATTTAGAAGACCCAGTCCTCCATTAAATATTAAGGACTTTCCTAGCTATAATTGCAGATTTATTTTTCTATTTGAACTTTAAAGTCAATCATGTAAACTTTAACTTTGTCAGTGATACTAATGGGATAAATGGCTAATAATATAACTCAGATTTAATTGGCTTCTTTCCTACAGGCAGTGTGATAAATGGCATATAGCATCTGTCTCAGTTAGGGTTTCTATTGCTGTGATAAATATACCATAACCACAGCAGCATCAGAGAGAAGTGTTTATCGAATCTCACAACTCACAGGTCAAACTCCATCAGTGAGGGACGCCAGAGCAGAAAGTAAAGCAGAACTCATAGAGAATGCAGGTCACTGGCTTGCTCTCCATGGTCTGCAAAGTTTGCTTTCTGTGCCCCAGGACTACCCACCCAGGGATGGCACTTGACACAGGAGGGACCTTTCATGTCAATCATTAATCAAGAGCATGCCCCACAGACATGCCTACAGTTCCATCTGATGGAAACAATCCCTCAACTGGCACTCCCTTGTCCTAGATGACACTATGTGGAGTTGACAGAGAACCCACCAATCTGATTGTTCTCTTACCCAATGACTGTGTCATGTACTTGTTAAATGGCAGTAAAGGGCCAGTGAGATGGCTCAATGGGTAAAAACACTTGCTGCATAAGCCTGGAAATCCGAGTTCAATCCCTGCCATCCCTATGATGATGATGATGATGATGATGATGATGATGATAAGGATGATAATAATAAACTTAGTATATCTAGGTATGTTGCTGCATACTTATAATTCCAGCACTTGGGAGGCTGAGACCAGACTGGATCACACAGTGAGCCTCTGTCTCAAGAAAACAACAAAGGGGAGGGGAGGTAAAGTGGCTCAGTGAGTAAAGGTGCTTGCCACCAAATCCGATGATCTGAGTTCAATCCTTAGTGTCTAAGTGATAGAAGGAGAGACTGGACTCCCATTGGTTGTCTTCTGACTTCCACGTGCACTCTGTGTCACACAGTCGTGCACACAGATAAACACAAAAGAAAATCTTTTAAAAATGAACAAAAAAGTTTCTAGCATACACTCTTGCAAGGGTTTTTATGACAATTTCATATCATCAGAAGGACTGAGACTCTGGAGTAGAGTTAGGCACGACCTCTGCCTTCAGGGAGACTAGTAGATAAATGCCTCCTCCCACATCATAGGATCTATGGATCCTCCAAGTGTCAAATGAAAATGTGGGGGCTGGAGAGATGCCCTAGCAGTTATGAGCACCTCTTGCTCTTCCAGAAGACCCAGGTTCAACTGTCAGCACCCACCTGGTAGATAACAACTGTCAGTAACCTCAATTCCAAATCAGCTGGTATCCTCTTCTGTCCTCCAAGTTCACAACATGCATTTGGTACACAGACACATACACACATACACATTAAAAACACAATAACTTGTTTTTAAAAATAAAGTAGATAAATATGAAAATGTCTAGAAGAAAGACCAAATCCACGCTTGCCTAATTAAAGCAAGCTTTATTAAATACTGGCCAGGAAGATGGACACTAGCTCCATCCATACCCAGGGTTCCCAGAGATGGTGTTGAATTTTGGTAATGAGGTGCTTAAAAAGGCAAACCCCAGAGCTGTGTACATCCTGCCTTCATCCAATCAGGGGCAAGCACACATTCTGATGTACTTCCTGACTACATACCTGCCACCTATCTGTGATCAAGCACATCCTACTCAGTTAGGGCAAGCACCTTTGTTTACTGAAGTGAAAATAGGTAGCTTGTTATCTTATAAAAACAGCCCTCAGCGATTCAGGAAATTATCTGTCCTGAGCAACTGGGGCTTATGGGTTAAGGTTAGCCCTCACGAGAACAGAATAAAAAGTTAAAAAAGATTGTTAAAGCCTTCTATCATCAAACAAATGATCTGGCTTTTGGTGTCTGATTTCCTACCACAGGCAGCTCTCACTCTGTTTCTTTCTCAAACTCTAACTTCTGGTGTTGCTGTGTGTTTGCATTTCAGAAGTTCCAGCGTGAGTTAAGCACCAAGTGGATATTGAATACAGTGAGTACTGGGGCCCATGTGCTGCTGGGAAAGATCCTACAGAACCACATGCTGGACCTCTGCATCGCCAACTCCAAACTCTTCTGGAGGGCACTGGCCATGTTGCAGGTCAGAGTGTGATGAGAGGCCCCCAAACCTAGATGACCACAGAAAGTATCTTTGCACAGTTGGGAAAGTGTGTAGGGCATAGGTCTATTTTTTTCACAGACATATCTTTCTCGGGCATAGTCTCTGATTTGCATGTGTTTTTACACACAGGTACACTGAGGTGATCCCTGCAGGTGTCATATAGGGAAGCAAACCACCACGGGAATAGATAAGAATGAAAACCCAGTGTAGTCTGGCATTGTCAACCTGGATCAGACTGCAGGGAGTCTAACGCAAGTGGTTCATTGTGGGCATATATAAAACACCTTACATTTTTGGAAAAGGTTTCCAGGCAACAGTCAGCCCAATGCTAGGTGCACAACAAAGCTTAAGGTGTGATGTGACTACATAGGAACTCCTTTACAAAGTACACGTGACCATGAGGGTGGGTTCTATAGCTAAAAGCCTTAGAATCTAGTGTGGTCGCTGACTGAGCATAGAGGTCAGCAGGCCATAAAGAACAGGTGACATCTTCCATAAGGATGGTAATGGTCTAGGGAGGGAAGAGTCTGGGGTAAACATTCTGGGGAATTTGGGTGAGGTCTGTCTCTATAGCAAAAGGTGAGGGAGGTCAGCCTCCACAGAGGAGCAAAAGGTCACCAGGTTGATGACAAAATCCACTCTCAGCTTTCTGGATGGAATGCAGGCATTTGATCTTTATCTCCTTCATTGAGGAGATAAAGGCGCATGATTGACATTCCTGGTTCCCTTAGTGCTTTGGGTGAGTACAAGGACCTCTGTGTCCCTGACCAGTCCATGAGTGTGAAACTATAACCTCCAGGTGACATTCTTTAAGTTTCAAGGATGCAACAGAAACCCAACTCTTAGCCGGGCAGTGGAGGTGCATGCCTATAATCTCCAGAGGCAGAGGCAGGCGGATCTCTGAGTTCCAGGACAGCCAGGACTACACAGAGAAGACCTGTCTCAAAACAAAAACAAAAACAAAAACAAATAAAGCAAAAAAGAAACCCAACTTGTATTCCTCTAAGCTAAAGTATTAGTTTAACATCCTGGAAATTAGCAATCCCAGTGGGAAGGAGTCTCTCTGTCCCTGGTGACTTGGGGAGAGCCTGGCAGAGGGCTCCTATTGGCTTGTTTTGGGTCCTGTGCACAACCTTGAACCAATCACTGTCCTTAGGGGAAAGGATGCTCTGCCCACCTGCTTTGTGTCAACCCAACTTTGGGGTGGGATGGGAGATGGGCTTGATTTTATCTTACAGCCCCCAGAACGGAGACTAACAGTTATACAAGGGAAAAGAAAGGGGCTAATGCCAGAGAGGGGTGAGAATGTCTGCTGACCAGAGAGCATGGTGGATGGCTTTGAAGTTTGGTTGCTATCCTTGATCATTGACCTATGGGGTTGTTGAACCCAGTTGTAAATCTCACCAATTTTCCATTCATTATGGGCAGCTGATGGGTTACTGCCAACTCCTTTCTCCCAGTTTTTCTATATGCCTCGTGATAACGGAACAAATTTTCCGTAGTGTCTAAAGCCAGTCTTCAGGATTACAGCTCCCACTCTCTCATGTCTTTTCCTTCTCCTTGGACACTATTCTCAGTTCTCCTAGGCATCTACCCTAACATTGATCTCATTGTTACTTCCACAGAGGTTTTCTGGACAGTCCAAGGCTCGCTGCATCGAGAGCCTTCTTCAAGTGATCCATTTTCCTCAACCATTGTCGGATGATGTCCGCGCTGCCCCGATCTCCTGCCATGTCCAGGTTGCCCATGAGAAGGAAAAGGTACCCTTCCCCAGCTGGCTGTTCAACAAACACTTTCTGAGCATCTTAAGCATCTTCGGAACTTTGTGTGACACTGCGTTTACAAAGCTCCGAGATACCCTGCCACATGGAGCTCCCATTTGGAGGGGTAGAAGAATGGGGTAGGGACGGGGTGAAGAGGTATGACTGTGACAGAAGCTACAGAGGCAAAAAAGATACCAAGGGGTCTTCTGTTTTGCCTTGGAGGGGCGTCAAGAAAAAGCAAGAGAAGGGCTCTTTGCACAGTTTTCCATCTTCAGGGGCGGCTTTTGACTACTCTTGACCCCATCTCTTTCTAGTCCGGATAACAACCTCCTATACTTGCTTCCAACCTAACCCCCGTACCCAGTTCTTTAGCTCCTCCAGGGTTCTTCCTCAAATGGCCATTTATTTACTTCAGTTATCCCTGCTGTTTCCCTCAGGTGATCCCCACAGCCTTGCTGAGCCTCCTACTCCGGTGCTCCATCACTGAGGCTAAGGCACGTCTGGCTGGAGCTTCTTCAGTCTGTGAGGTTGTTAGAAGCGTCCTCTCTGGGCCAGGTCAGAAGCGGAGCACTCAAACCCTTGGAGACCCTACCGCCTGTGGTGCCCTGAATTGATGTTTTTGAGACCATGGAGGGCAGAGTCCCCCTCCAGTTCCCAGGGGACTTGTGCCAGCAATACAGTTGTGGGGACAATTTCGGGTGAGTGCGGCACTCACTAACAGCCCAGAAATGGGAAAGAGTCCTGTTTTCAGCCGGATCATTTCAATTCTTACTGGTGTCTTCTGATCTCAGAAATAAAACTGTCTTGTTTTGGAACCTAACCTTCAAAAAAAAAAAATCAGTAATCAGACTCACTACACACAAACAAGGGAAGCAGGGGCTTCA